TATAATCGCCATTGCCCTGCGTGATTATGTTTACTATAAAATATTAAATATATATATATATATAAGTACAATGACATATTCACATTAATAAATGTAAACTGTAATACATATTATGTAAGATCGGTTACCTATTATCTGTAATAACTAATAATAATAACAATAATAATTTGGACTAGGATTCATTAGTCAGGTAAATTAAGTAGACATATACACATATTATGATAAGTTAAAAATTATAGTTATCGTAGAACTAATTTATAAAAGTATTTTTCGAATTATGATTTAAATAATAAATAATCCTTTTGTCAGAACAATATGTATTATGTGGTCTAGTTGGCGCGGTGGTTAGCCTCAGTCACTATAATGTGTTTTGGTGTGTCACTAACTCTGGAATAGGTGACCACCTGAGTTCTTGGGAATGAATCCATAGCGCATACACAAACACACACGTGTTCCAACCCATCTAACCAAAACCTAACAAACAAACAAAACTTTACACAAAAAACCTACTGTTCCTATCCACAGCTAATGGCCTTGATTGCCGGGCTTAAAAAAAGATTAATAAAAAAAATAATAATGATAAAAAAAAAATATGTATTCTATTATAATAATTTTTATATTTGGCCTAAATAATTCTGTTTTATTATATTAATTGTTTACTTTATATATTATTATTATTGTAATTATTCATAAGCATATTTTTTATGTTAATCATTTGTTCCATTTTCAAAAACCGATGGGCATTTATTATAAATATAAAACAAAATAAATTAAATGCGTAAAAAAAAAAAGTATGCTTAATAAATATTAATCTACTATAAAAATTGTTGTTCTTATTTGGAATTAAATAAGTTTGTATCATCTGCGCAATACATTCTGTATAATATGATAAAAAAAAATCTGTAAATAATATTTATCTGAAGTATAGATAATATGAAGTAATAAATGTAGTCCTTCAGCTTAAAATCTAAAAAAAATTTCAACAATTGCAATTTCAATGAATACATAATAATATAATATAAAGCATAAAAAAGGGATGAGTATGTTCAGTAAATATAACTACTTTTATTGTTGATTTATCTGTATTATATTTTTAAATACCTATTATGGTTTTTATATCAATTGCATATCTTACCTATCACGTGTAATGTATAAATTTAGACTAATGACTATGATAATATTATGCTTAACAGAAGTAAGTATCTTCATCGAAACTTATAATATTAAAACATATCCGTTTAATCGATATAAACGATTTACATTAAACATATTTACTAACTTATTACTAAGGTTCTACTTAAAATATTAAATAGTTTAAATTTTGAAAAACTATTATAGGTACCTATAGAGCGGTGTTTTTATTAATTTTTCAACGATTTGTTTTCACAATAATTTCACGTAATCCAAATACCTAATGATATTTATTATGTAATATTGTACTTTACCGATTACCGGTATAATATAATCTTTTAATGCATTTATCATCTCGCTAAGCTACCAATTAATCTTAAATTAATGTGTATTAAAATATATTAAGATCATAATAAGAATAATTTTACGAGTTTTCGTAATTCATGAGTAATCTGTTAAATATTCAAAATTATCTCAGTTAAATTTTATAACTTGTAAAATTTTAAATTCTTATCACTTAACTAATCTATAACTATTTCATCTTTGGCCATTTTATTAACACCTATTATCTTCGCCGTATTTCGTTAATTTCAAGAACTACTTACGGGTTTATCATTTATAAACATGCTTCTAACTTTTATAATTTAAAAAAAATATTATATTTATTTAATATGATTTTCAAGTCACAGATATACGTAAATATAATTAAAAATCGAATAATAATTTATGTATTTCCACATTTCGTTGCCGTACAATATATTATGTGTTATAGAAGTATATTATATAGGTTCTTATAAACCTACTATTACTGTCTACACTGTAGACTCAGTATACGTGATTACACAAAACATACTAAACACAAATGTATGTTTTTCACAAAATATGACAACTTCCAAGTAGATACTTATACAGACTTTTTAACATAGCGCTGTGTTCGCATGATTACATAATTGCATACTTATATATTTCCATGCGTCAACATGAATATAATCTATAGCCTATTGGCAGTGGCGCATTTATAGGGGGAGGGGGGGCATGGGGAGCAATTTTCCTGAACAGTACTTTTTTGGGGGCAGCAATTTAACTGGGAGCTTTTTTTTTTTAACAGATGTAAAAAAAAAATAATAATAAAATGTTAGTTATTTTTTTTATAAGCAAATCAATGTCAACAAAACGTAATATTAATATCAACACTACAATACAGCTATTTTGTAAAATGAATCTCCAGATTTCATAATAAACGCGCGTGTGTTAATTTATTGTTTGCCTTCAGACAGTGGCGTATCCAGGGGGGCCACGGGGCCATGCCCCCCCCCCTCGTTGGCCTTATTTACTAGATTTTGTTTTAAAGATTTAAATTTATTTGTATGCATGAACGCATACTACAATAATACTCTTATACCAGCATTACATACACTTATAATTTTGTTGGGATTAACCCGTTTTTATTATTGAATTACTATTACTATTTATTATTATGTATATACTCGTATATATATATATATTAACTTAATGACTGACTGAAAATATAAACAAATTATTTGCACTATAAACATTAAATATTTGGTTTATTTTATTTTTTTTGTTTTTGATAGTAGGTAGTATATATGGTAAAATTTTAGACCCCCCTAAAAAAAATCCTGGATACGCCACTGCCTTCAGCTATATAGATTTTTATTCTATATGAAACTATTAGCATATCACATGTACTTATTGTCAGCTTTTTTTATGGGTAAGAAAAATGTCCACTATAAAAAAACCTGTGAGGGAATTAGCATTAAAAAAATGTGTACCCAAGGCAACAAAATCCTAAATACGTCACTGCCTATAGGTATATACCAAATTACTAAAACTATGGATTTGTCTTAAATTGTTTTGTTTTTTATTTTAAATTAATATTGTTTATAATATAATTATTTTATAGAAAATAATTTTTTCTATAAAACATAGACAATTCAATGCAAAATCTTTTATCAATGCTCATCTAAATTCATAAACTGTTAGTTCTCTTCGTAAATACTAATCGTAGTATTAATTAATAATAAATAACCTTACTTACAATATTCATTTGAACTAAACACAATCTTATTCCCAATTTGTATAGAATGTTTATATAAATATATATATTTATTTATTTATTTACATACCTACATTGAGTACATATATATATACGTGGCTGACAGTGACACTAATATTCTAAGAAATGTAAATTCTGCTCCAGTTAAATCACCTTTACGGCACACTGAGGCATAAAGTTCAAAATCAGTTTTTATTTATTTTCGAAATTATATCATTTATACATTTATCAGTAGGTATTTAATGGAATTTTTTTTTAGTTTAATAACAATTATACACTAATGTATGCCTTATCTAAGCGCAAATATTTTATGCTTAAACGTCCAAACAACTAACGTGTACTATGATGTAAGAAAAATCTAATTAATATTTATATAATAATATATTGTCAATATTAAGAAAAAACAAAATTGTTTAAAGCAAATCCAGAAAAAAATGTTGGTTAAGCAAATTAATGAAAATATTTACAAAATTAAGATATCTATTTTTTACAATGTGTTGTAAGCTCAAAATAAAATAGTAACTTTTGTCATTTTATCCCAATTTAGGCCCTATTCGTACAGTTCACCATAATATACCATTAGTTTTACACTAATACAAATCAATTTCTGATAGATTCTGTATCTAATCCTTAGCTAGAGGCTTAGTTTCTACTCAGAATCGAATTGAATTAAAGTTTTAATGTATCCGTTACGATTACCTACTCAATGATAAAGATACACTCAAAATCTTCTACACAAATACACAATAGAACTGTTTGTACCTAGCTCCCCAAATTTTTATATTTATTAATTTTAAATTGATAATACGAGTATATTAATCAAATCCTAGAAATAATTTATTTTGCGTAACTGTAAATTTAATATTAACAATTCCAGAATTTACGATTACAAAACCATCTCAATATATTATATTATAATTTATAATATACCGTAGCTTTGATCTACAATATGCTTACCCAATAAGCAGTATTGAAACAAATTTAACATATAAAATGCGCATTCAAAATATTCTAAATTTCTCAGTAAAATTTAAAGAAATTTTTAATTTAAGTATAAAATAATAAATGTTTAATAGTTAATATTTAATTATATAATATATATTTTAACGCGTTAATAAATATAAAACTATAATATAGCATTATATCTTATAAGTTAATTTACCTACTAAAAAAAAAAAATTATGAATTTAATGTGAAATATATAAAAATGAACTCTTACGCATAATGTATATTTATTATATATAACTATATTAAGTATCTACCAAGATTCTTATTTCAGCATAATCAATATTAGCACAAAACAGATTAAATTTTTTGCGTTATAATATATAATTAATCTGCAGCATATTTTACAAACTAATGACTTCACTTGGGAGTTCTGTGTTCAACATTCAGCTATAATTTATATATATTTATCAATACTTTTTAAATACTGATATTATATCATGTCGTATCTTTATAGGTACACAAACTTAACATAAAGCCACTAGAATAATAATATAATTATAGCGCTGCGTATTGTTTATATTATAAAATAATATAAAATCATTAAACTTCTAAAAGACCATTATTTTAATCACTAAATGATAAAATAAATTAATAAATACTTAAAACATATTTTCAAAAAAAAAAAAACAGTAACTTAAATAATACTCATTTGATATTTTATTAAGATGTATAATAACTGGTATTAACAATAACTAATAATATTAATAATAATAATTAAAATTGAATAAAATATTGGTATGTAGGTACATAATATTATGACTTATACTAAACCAATAACTAAACATTCTGTTATAATTTTTTTTATGAAATATTTACAATTTATTAAAATATAGGATGATATTGTTTTTACAATAAAATCAACAAACAGTTAACACCTACAGCAGTCATTTTTAGTTTAGTAATATTTATGTAATGACAGGTTAAATTAAAAATACAATGCATAGGACGGATCAACAATTTTAAAAAAAAGGAAAGTTTTTTTAATTAAAAGTAATGTTATTTGCTACCTCATTTTTGAAGTAAAAGATAATAATGTAATAAATATCATATATTCAACTATAATAATAATTAATAATTATACAAACTCAGTGTTTTAGTTGGTTCTTAACTGGTAGTCTCCATTTTGGGTAATATATCGTACCCAAGGTAATGCTTGATAACCACTCTTCTCAATAATTTTCAAGTACCTGACTTGAATGCCTGATGTTGTGAAATATGGTATTTCAAACCTCACCTGTATAGGAGGCCTACCTTCAGTTTCTTCATTTTCAACACTTGGTAGACCAAAATGTGCTCTCATTAAATATTCTCTACCACCTGGGAAAGACTTTATCGACCATACTAATGAATTTTGCTCTGGCATATACTTGACTGAACCTACAGTAGTTTTGAATTTAGGAGAATCAGCATCCATGGGGACTTGGATAACTACTTCTACATTATTGGCAGTAGATCGACGCTTAAACTGTGATTTTGCCTTAACTATGTATTCAACCCGACTATGAGCATGTCTTTCAATAACACTTTCAATCCAAATCAAAGGCTTGATGTGTGTACTTAACCTGTAAGAAAATTAAAGTATTATTATCTAATGGTTTCCCTAATAAATTAAACTACAAAAAATTACCTGTATGTCATCAAATCAAATTCTCCATCTGGAGGAATAAACGATATAGTTCTATCGTTTTCAAATCGTGATAGACGAACACATTGATGGAATTTAACATCTTCAAGTTCTACAGATTTTGATTTGCCACGTCCAGTGCTTTCAAATAATACCTTGTCATTAAGCCCTAAACGTAGTTCTGGCATTCCAGACAAGTAAACTCTCATTTTGATTGAACCTACTATTTCACTTCTAAGTACATTTCCATTAGCACTAGCTAACAAATTTACTGATTCGATAACATCTAAAAATACTTCGTTTTTTCTATACTTGAGCCCTTCTGAGCGCCAAGACACAGCATTAGTTACCGCCATAGGGATTCTAGGTTGTATTTCTAATTTGTGACCATCTTGGGTAATGTACTCTTGTAGGATTTTGCTGTCGGTAGTTTGTGGATACCCAAAGTCAAGCAGTTCATCCAAAAGTTCATATATAACTACAAAGTTGTCACGTATACTCTCTTCTTCAATTTCTTTAAAATATTCATTCATGATTCGCACAACCTTATGTAGAAACACAAAAACCAGCATGATGTTAGCATTCTTCTTGGTCGTGGACACAACATAAAGATTGTTGCATTTTATGTATGTGAACGTACACTCCTCGGTCTGTAACAGGGGAGTCAATGATCCCTCCTCTTCTTTTTCCATCAGCAGTGGCATGAACTTTTCAATAACATTGGGCGCAATATCACCCCGATAATTTCGGGATATCAACACCTTGCCCTTGACGTCTAATATATAAATAGCAGACGCAGACATTTTCGTGTAACGATTACTTATTTAATGCTCTCCGTCGAATCACTTCATTAGACTCACGGTCCCCGTATAGAACGCAGTTTCCACGGCACACTACAACACCTTGACTGGACTAAAAAGACGTTGGTCGTTAACTTTAGAATTGTACGATGGACACTTTTGTCAGCCACAACTAACACCCAATTATAAATGTTAAATAATAAAATTTTAATTAATTTATATTATTAAAATGTATTTTTTAAGTATAATAAAAATAATTATATTATCTTGGACTGTACCTATTATTTCATCAAACCACTCAAACCAATCACCAGTTTACCACCATCGACCAACGTTGACGTGATAACCATTTGATAAGCGTGGAACCAAACCAAATGAAACGTCAGTATGGTCAGACAACCAGCGAGTTGGACGCGTGGCCATTGTAATTTTCTATATGGCCACACCGGATCGGTACTCGAATACTCGATATCAAACTGTTATCATCGATTTATACGGAGATTTTTACATTTTCATTATGTAGTATATCATGATAAAATATTAGTATAGTATTATACTATTATAGTGTATTGTATACTGTATTAGTGTTTTACTATAATTGCTAGTTAGTAATAACTAATAGTCTATTATAAATTGCCATTGTCTTCAGTATTATTTTACTGTGTCCATTAACGGATCGTCTGAATTTCCATTCGACGGATTTTAAACATTTCTTCTTTGCTTACAGTGAAATTAATCTTCACGCTAATCCTACGAAAATGGCTGTACGTAGAGCTAGTCACTCTGGGACATGGTACAACGAGTCTGGTATGTGATTTTTTTGTCAATGTTTGGGATCGGAATAAAATGTTACGATTAATTTTTCAGCAAAAGAACTCAGCAATCAATTAGAAAACTGGTTAGGTGCTGCTGAACTCACTCATGGGCCTGCTAGAGCCATAATAGCTCCGTACGTATTTTCTGAATAATACATTCAACAAATAAGTCATATTCATCAATATTCAATATCGTCAATTAATCTAATGAATTTCTATTTTACAGACATGCCGGATATCAATATTGTGGTGCTTGTGCAGCATTTGCTTATCGCCAAATAAGTCCATTTGTCGTGTAAGTTACAATGATAACAAAACTTTTCATAAGTAACTCTAGTTATTTTTAGGCAACGTATTTTTATACTTGGACCCTCGCATAATGTTCGTCTATCCGGTTGTGCTTTGTCAAGCGCTGTTAAGTATAGAACACCGTTTTATGATTTACAAATTGATAATGAAGGTAAGAATTTATATTTCTGAAGTAAGACAATATCATTGTTTTAAAATTATATTTAGTATACGAAGAGCTCGAGTCAACTGGACATTTTGAACGAATGAGTATGAAAGTAGATGAAGACGAACATAGTATTGAAATGCAATTGCCTTATATTGCCAAAGTGATGCAAGAGTAATAACCATAAAAAAATTTACATACTTAATAACAATAATTTATGTACATCTTTTATTATATTTTAGCTACAAAGATAAATTCACTATTGTGCCAGTAATGGTTGGCTCGTTAAGTACTGAAAAAGAATCTCTCTATGGACATATATTTTCTCAATATTTAGCAGATCCGAAAAATCTTTTTATTATATCTTCAGATTTTTGTCATTGGGGACAAAGATTTCGTTATACATTTTATGAAAAATCTTGGGGTGAAATTCATCAATCAATTAAAACTCTAGATCATAAGGTTAGTTTTTTAAGTTTAATTATCTGTAGGTTATAACTAAATTGGCTTAATTTTTTTTATACAATAGAAATCAAATCAAATTAATATTTACAATCATTATAACAATTATAATATTATGACAGTTTAATAATTATGTACATCATTATCTTTTTTTCAAGGGCATGGATACTATAGAAACTTTAAAACCAGCTGCTTTTGTTGAATACTTGAAAACTTTCTCTAATACTATATGTGGTAGACATCCGATCAGTGTTCTATTACAGGTAAACTTAAAATAATCAATAATATTTATTAATTTTAATTATTTCTTGTAAAATATTGTAATCTTTAGGCGGCAAATCATTTACGGACTCAAAAATTATCACTCAAGTTTCTAAAATATGCTCAGTCTAGCAAATGTTACAATCTGGGTGATTCATCAGTTAGCTATGCATCTGCATCCCTTATAATTGAATAGTAATATAGTACTTCATAGTGAAATTTTTAATTCACATTTTTCTAAGTATAAGTTAACAGTGTTAACACTAAATTTAAAAACTATATACTTAATTACATAAAATTGTAAACCATAATGATAATCAAGTTTTTATAAACATTGTTTATATTATTAAATAAATATTAAAATGTAAGTTTTTTTTTTTTTTAAATGCATTATTTTTATATAAATATATTTTGTAAAATTGATATATATATATATATACATATAAAAAAAAATACTTCATGACTGATCATAAAAAAATAATTCAAAATATAATTACTTTTGTTAAATAAAAATGCATTTTAGTTAGATTCAATCCCTTGTTCAGTAACTCTAAAAGGAACTCTTGTTGAAGCCGTATGTGGACTGAACATCACTTCTATATATCTAGAAGACTGTGTTTTGGACATCATAAGTCTAGTAGTTACTAAATTCGCCCACGAAAGTCCCAAAGATGGGACTAATTTCTTTCCACTGTTATCTGACATAGATGAAGTTACCTGTATATGAAAACATGAAAATGAAATTAATGGTATGTTAAATTTGTATAATATTTCATTCATATTTATATTACCTGATTAACACATATGATCCACAATCCATGTTCAACAGATAGCTTATGTAGAAAAAACGCCACATCTCTGAGATCTCTAGATCTACGAGGTAATTCATTTAATGCATATTCTCCACGAAACACAGCTGTTATACTATCAATAATAATGAGTTTTATAGATCTATGTAACAATGCTTTTGGAAGCATTTCATGGATACATTTTTTTAAATCTTCCTAAAATTCATAAGAATAGTTGGACAAAAATCTTCTAATCAAAACAAAATAATTTACCACAGTTGCTATGTGACTAATTAAAATATTGTCTCCATAATCTATTTGACATAATTCATTCATATCAGTTTTATTATCACATTTATACTTAAAACGAACATTAGAAATCATCTGTTGTATTCGACTAGAAGGAAATCGGTCTTCAGTACAAATGTATGCAGCTCCTTAATTTAAATAAAAAGTCAAATTTAGAACCTTTTTTTTAAATTTATTTATTATTTTAACGATTATTACCAACCAGACTTTGCTCCTTTGAGTGATAATGGTAATTGAACAGTAAGTGCTATCTGCAAACAAAATTGTGTTTTCCCACAGCCACTTTCACCGGAGATCTCTGTAATGCCACATTTGAATAGTCCTCCCCCCAAAAGTTCATCAATCTGTTTACAGCCTGTAGTAAGAACTTGATTATTTGACTCTTGATGACATCTATAATATTAATGAATTAAAAAATCAGTATTTATGCACATGTTGTAATGCTTTGTTTATAATTAATATTACTTGACATTTGATACACTTATATTAGCTGCTGCAATAAACACACGGCGAGTGGCTTCTACAGTCAAATTAACTTTTTTTCTAAATTCTGTTTCAGTATACTTTAAAATATTTGTGGATAATAGAAAACCTCCTAAACAATACAAAACAATTATACTATAAACAATTAGGTATACTCGCAAATATTATTTTTGAAATATACCCTTGAAATTATAATGTTATTTTTATGTCAATATTTTTACAATTAATCAATTTAATTATTCATTTATGTTAATAATTTATGCGTGACGTTGTGACATGAAAGTGTTGTTATAACTATTGTTAAAATACAATATAATACACTATCAGTTTTAATGGACATATTTCTCTTGTTGCATTGAACTATTATGTATTTTTATTTATTATTATAGTCAGTAAGAAAAAAAAAAGTTTGTATAATAGTATTATTCTTATAGCACTATGGTTTTGTATATTATAATAACAATATTATATATTTATAGAATTTTTTTCTTTAAATGTTATTAAAAATATTGTATAAATTTTATTTGTCGCATTATATTAAAAAAAGAGCAAAATAAAACTTAGGTTTCTTAAAATATTAATATAACAATAATCCATGGATATTATTAATTGTTAACCCCGACGTGGTATACAAAAATTATTTTAACACTTATTAATTTATAAATCTTATCTTCCATTTATTATTTAAAATTATTATTATGATACTACATTAAGTAAAACATACTATAAAAATCTGTAAATACTGAATATACTAAAATGTACCTATTATAATTAGATTTTAACACCTTTATATTTATGAATATTTTTTGTATTAAAAAGTGATTTGCAAATATTTAGGTATCTACAATTCAATCATTATTTAAATGACAAGAAGCAATTAAATTTTAAATTCATATAAGTTAATAAATTGCCAAAAAAAAAAAAATTGAAACTTTAGAACTCAATTGTAGTAATATAATATAATTGATAAGTCTATGACCTATGTTGATAACTAGTGATGAACATAATCGAGATATTTCGATTGTTTTTCATAATTCTACTTAAAATAAGGGTTCAACATGCAGTGATTGAAAACTGGTAGAGTTTTCACAACCAATATAATTTCTTAACAGTCAGGATTGGTACCACCATTCACAATTTGATAATATATGGATTTGGCAAAGTACAATACCTTTGTTTATAAACAAACTGGTATACTCTTATTCTGAATAAAGTTGAAACGAAATTCACTCATACAATTATATAATTTAAGATTAGGTAATAATTAATAAACTAATTACCAATAAAATGTTTATCTAACACAATTTAGACATTAGTTTAAAAAATATATAAGCATAAATAAAATAAAGTATTGCATAGACAATCAAATCTAGTATATTTTATATAGCCCTCTAATATTCTAGGGAGCTTATAAATTATGACAATGATCGGTCATCGTTTACAAAAATATTATAATTTTACCTTTGATCAACGCGGCTTGTGTATATGGGTCAAAAACATTCAGATCTAGATCATTGTCTACTGATGACGAATTCATTTCACCAACAGTAGTGACAGTGTGAATTCCTGGAAGTCATAATCCGTTCGTAGAAAATACTGTTAAAACAATTATGATTTATTAAGTAAGTTCAGTACGTCATGTACTAACAACTAAGAAGACAAGGATATAATGGTTGAAAATAAATACATAATTTATATAGGTGCTAAAATTACTGTTCGTTTATACAAAAAAATAGGAGAAATTCGATCTTCAAGAAACTTATTTTACATCTGTACCACAAAATAAAATATTAATATTTTTTTCATCTAACCGTGGCTTTAACACTATAAAAGTAGTTTTAAAATTTAATGTTTCACCCTTAGTACCCGGCAGCCACAATCATTGATAAGAGATGCAAGTGTAATAAGCACGGACAAGTGATAAGACGACAGATAATGACAAGGTTTACGACATGAATTAAGATATTTATTATTTATATATTAATGTGACATCAATCTTAAAATAAGCTCTATGAATGTCCTAGGTATCTAATATCCATTTTTATAAGATATGGAGTATGGACATCCTCATGATAGGTACCTACCTAGAATCGATTACTAATTTAGTTATATCTAATATCAATAATGGACCGTGGACACTGGACAGTGTCAAATTCATATCCATTCAGAATAGAATTCTTCTTTTGGTGGTGAAGGGGAATAAGCATTTATAAGTAAAAAAAACCAATTTTAAATTTCTAAATAATCATAATCCAAGGCAGTTTTCGGAAGTGTAGTAAAGCGTAATAGACACGCTCGCACAACGTACCTACCTATATGGATTCATATATGTTGCGCGGGCGATCTGGATTACTATCCTCTTATATGTAGTGACGTATTTGTGGGGGGATGGGGGGTCCCGGGTCTCGACCCCCCCCCCAGAAAAATAAAAAAGTCATGAATAACTTGGGATTAACTTTGGGTTATTTTTGTCGGTTTAGCGATGTTATCAATAAATAAAAACTACTCAATAAAACCGGAAGAAGTTATTGAAGAACTATAGAGAAAAAAAAGACGTTTACCTTTTTTATTATAAAAAAAACTATAAATTTATATTAATAAATCATAATAGTACTATAGTAGTGAAATACCTCTACATAATATAATAGGTATAAATAATATAATTATTACATCATAACTTGTATGTGTTTTTTTATATTATAAACTTATAGGTACTTAATATTTATACCTCCCCCCCCCCACAAAACATTTGAAAATACGCCACTGCTTTTATGTATATATGTATATACACGATTATATATATAAGGATATTATATACATATATTATGTAGGTACCTATATCAAATTGACTTACCCTTGTTTGGTTGTCAGGCATTCGGTAAACGCTGCAAGAATGATGTACAAGTTTAATGTTAATTATAAACATAAAAGATATACTATTAATGTTGAAGTAACATTTTTATTATTTAAGACACACAAAATTGATTAGATGACGTATACAATTTACACTTAACGTATGATCACGACCAAAGACATACACGAAGAAAGTGACAGTGACATTAAGTCCGAGTCACTGATGGTCGAAGGGTCTCGATTTAGCCAGTAGGGTTAATTCTTTTATATGAAGATAAGAACATCATAACAATATCTGATCACATATGTCCATGATCATAATATAAACATCTGTATGACCGTATTTATTAACAGTGTGGTGTATATATAAAGTATTATGATAATGCCACTCTTTTTGCATAACTTGGTTATGAATAACTATCATTATAGAAGTTTGAACCCTTAGCCATTCCCACCACTATTTCTTAAGTTATGATGAGTAATTTTAAAATATTATTACCTTATCTAATATCTATTAATTATTATAAGTTGCTTATTTAGTTAATCAAATAAAAATTGTGTTTTTTTTTTTATCATTATTCATTTAAAATAAAAAACTATCTTACGTATTTTTAGGATTTTAACTGCATAACATATTGCATATTTTGATACTTTTTACTTACTTTTTAGTGTACAAAAATGTATGCTCTATATATAAGTCTATACCCTAGATAAAAAAGATCTATGGACTATGAATAGGACTATTTAGTAATTACCACGATAAAAACAAAATTTGTACATCTGAATATCTGATAAAACAACATCAACTTCACTGAATATCAAAACTCTCATCAATTGTTTAATCATTGATAAAAAAAAAAATATCTGAATTATCTAATTTTAATATA